TTCTAAAAAATACTTGAGTTGCTCTCAAAGAACACTAGGATGAAGCTCAATAAGCTAGATATGTCTCTCCCATCTCCCAGGGAAACTGTAGGGCTTAAACTTATATGGATAGAGTTTAATATTCTATTGCTATCATGTTTGTTCATATAGGATTTGATACTTCTATAATAGTTAATAATTTAACTTATCTGAGACTCAAAAGTACCGTCCTGAAATTCATTTTTAAAAAGTTGTATCATTTGATAAACAGAGTTCATAATCTTTTAATTTTATAAGTTAATTTCCACAAATCACTGGAACACTTAAAATATGTTAAATAATACCCAGAAAACAGATAGAGAAACAGATTCACATTGCTAATGTGAATTAACTTTGTAGCTTATTTAGTTAGGAAGCAGAATAATCATTGTGGCTACATAGTGTTTTTCTTACGCATAATGTGTGTAAACTCACATTTACAATTTAGTGTTTCTGAAAAATATCATAAAATATACCCAGCTAAGCCTACTAATCCTTAAGGGTTTAAAGATTGGAAACTTACTAGCCATCGTTTGAAAATGCTATTTTATGTCTATTCCCTGTAGGGTATTTTTGTCATATGCATAGTTCACATAATCATAATCTACATAGTAGATAAATTATTTGTATGCTGCTCTGTTTAGTTAACATTAGAGCATATCCATTTCTGAATTACATCTTTATAATTTCTGGATTATCTTTTGTATATGTATTTTACTTCCGATTTTTTTTTTATATTAATACTGTTACATGACTTTTCTCTATATTTCAGATAGTTTCCTGAATCTAGATTTCCAAATCTATGACAAAATTCTCCTGGGTGAAGATATAGCAAGGGTGGCTATATCTTTGTCATCTTCCCTGTCTCCAGGGGAAATCTTTCAGCCATTTCCCACTGAGGATGTTAGCTGGGTTTTCATAGTTCTCTTCATTGGGTTGAGGAAGTTCCTTTCTACTCCTAATTTGTTCAGTGGTTTTATCGTAAAAGGATATTCACTTTTGTCAAATGATTTTTTTTTTTTTTTGCATCTATTGAAATGATCATGTCATTTTAAAAAACTTTTTGCTCACATGACCTGTTACTGTCATGCACTACATTGTGTTCCTTTGGTCAACGGCAGCCGGCATATTCAACACTGGTCCCATAAGGTGATAATACCATATTTTTATTGTACATTTTCTGTGTTTAGATACACAAATACTTAACCCTTGTGTTTCAGTTGTCTATAGTATTGAGTCTGATAATATGCTGTAGAGATGTATAGCCTAGGAGCAATAATATTCCATGCCGTATCCCCTAAGTCTCAATTTGTGTAAGTGCATTCTGTGAGTGCGCAGTGACACAAGTGCCTCACAGTGTGTTTCTCAGAGCACATCCCCACTGGTAAGTGATGCTTACCTGCATATTAATTAACTTTCCCATGTCAA